TTGATTATATAAAATATAAGTAATGCACTTAATTTAATACAAATCGTATAATTTTTTAAGGCTGAAGTAATTAAAGATTTACCAAAGCTCCTTGATGTTCTCGTCTCATTCTCTTATATCCACTCATTTGTTCATGCATTTCCTCTTGCATATGTTCTTTTTGCTGTTTAGTCACAATAGATGTTGTTCTAATTGTTGCAAAATTATTGGCACCATGTTCAAGAAGATTGGCAGTGACACCACCTGCTGATATTTTGTGTCGATTTCGTACAGATCCCGTGGAGTAATCATTTGCATCAGCATTTGGCAGTGGCAGGCTATTGGTAGAGGAACTTTGAGAGCTTGCAGAAACACCCATTGAATGAATCGAATGCTCTGAAGTAATTGAATTACTTTTGCTACTATCACCACCTGTTTGTTCGTCAGGAGTGTCTGTGAGATATAAATAAAAATGTAAATATAAAATAAATTACTTTATTAAAAAAAAAAAGAAAAGAAAATAATATAACCTCAAATGTAAAATAAATATTTTTAAATTTAATCTGTAACATACCATCTGCATCACCAACTGTACTTTCAGTCTCGCAAGCGTCGATCATTAAAATTTTCTTCATTTTTCGATAATTTAAATTATCTAACTCTCTGACAGCAGCTTTTGTTCGTTGAATTAGATCTATCAGAACTTGTGGAGAACATGTTCTGGTGACAAATTGATGCTGTAAAATTGAAAGCCTATAAAGAAACAACTCACTAAACTACAGTATATTCTTTTACATAAACTTTGAGCATTAAAATACTATAGAATTTATATATTGCAATTGAAATAAAAAATTTGCATAAAAGACTCACTGATAACAGTTTACCAGAGGATGGTCTTTCAGTTGGACTTTTAGTAAGACACACTTCAACAAAATGTCGAAATACATCTGACCAATCTGGAGAATTAAAAGTTGGTGTGTCATTCTGAGCAATATGATACAAAGCACTCATAGCATTCATGTTAAAATAAGGTGGTTTCCGCTCCGCTAAAATTAAAGCAATTGTGTCTAATGTTATTAAACAATTTTAAGATTATGTTTAAAAATAAATCTGATTAATAAACATCCTCCCACGTTTTTAACGCAAATATAAGGGGTTAAAAAGAATAAACCATGATACCTAATTCAATACACGTTATCCCTAAAGACCACACATCCACTTTTCCATCATATTGCCCTTCATCCATAGCTAATATCACTTCTGGTGCCATCCAATAAGGAGTTCCTACAAAACTATTTGCTGGGCACTTTATGCTTGCCGATCCAAAGTCTGCCAATTTGACTGTTCCATTTTCAGTAAGTAAAATATTTCCTGCTTTTACATCTCGATGGATTCTTCCAAAAGAATGAAGATAATATAAACCACGTAGTACACCATCACAAATTGCAGCTATTTCATCTTCTTTTAATGGTCTTTTATGAACTTCAATAATGTCTGATGCAGAACCAAGGCAATATTCCATTACCAACTATAATTAATATAGAAAAGTGATGACAATTAAAAAATCATACATAAGCAAAAATAAATTAGTATTTAGCAAAATGTTGTAATAATTTTAAGAAATATATACCCAAGCAGTATGGTCCTTCAGATAACATCCTTTATATTTTATTGTGTTAGGATGGTTCAGTTGTCTAAGAAATCTAATTTCTTTCAAGATATCTTGCCATTTCTCAACAGTTTGTTTTCCCAGATAAGACATTTTCTTGATGGCAACAATTTCCTTGGTAACCAAACATCGTGCATAATAAACAGCCCCAAAACTGCCATGTCCGATTTCACGCAAGTCCTCAAATATTTTCTCCGGATCATTTTTCTCGAATAATTCAGCAATCTCTGGGTCCTTAAGGCTACCAGGCCTTGGAACAGCTGGCATAGTAGAGGTGTTAATAATTAAATGGCCGAGGCCTATTTCAGACACCGTTAGACGTCTTCTTGTCTTTTAATCTTCTACCCTAAATATTTTTAATCTTACTTAATCCTCTGTCAGTCCATTCCAAAATTTAACATTCTATCTGTGAAAAAAACGTAAATTTCAAAGTTTTATTTCAATGTGTAAGAAGTAATTACCATTTTCTGTGCAATGCAATATTAGTTGCTATTTTTTATTACAATTTCAATTATATTCTTTATTTTATGTAGCATTTAAATTACAAATTTATATAAAAATGTGGTCACTATCACTGGAAATGAAGTATACATAACTATTGTATTTTAAATTAACAATATAAAATGAAGTATTTCATGAAATAAAAAACATTGCATTTGTATAAATTAATGTATGTGTAATAAAATAATAGGTTTGTCTTTCATGATATAAATGCTATGAATTACGTCTAAATAAAATCCAGTCTTCTCTTAATAATTTTAATACTAAACATCATTTAATAAATGTAAATGCATAGATGTATAAAATAGAAAACAAAACGAAACAGCTCTTTTTGTTATCTCTTCTTGTATAATTAAAGTTAGCATAATACTTAACATGATATAAACTTCAGGACAATGTTAAAACATTTTATATAATATAAATTATTGTTTGATAACTAATACATTTTAATTTATGTAATTTTCTTTACTTGATCAGTTAAATTGATTTACAATTAAAAAGGGTATTTATAAAATTATCAAATTGAAAAGTTGCTTATTTAAAGAAATAATGTGTATTCATTAGAAAATTTGTGTTTAAAATAATGTTCAAACTGATTTGTATACAATAAATAAGGAAAATTAAAGAGATCCAATATCGAGTTATCATAACAATTATTTAACCATTTCAATTTATACATCAAAATAAGAACTATTAGAATCTATATACTTTGATAAGTAACAAATCCAGTTATTCACTAAATCAAACATTTTATCGATATTATGAGAAGTTTCTATTTCTTTAACTCTAATTTTAAATTCATATAATAAAGTACTTTGAATTCTCCTTGCTTTTCTAATTGCATAAAATAAATAAAGGAAAATAGCTAAAACTAAAGTATCGGCACAAATTAGTCAAGTGAACATTTACGCTTTAAAGTGAACACAACTCAACAAAAATTTGTTTTAAATCAGCTATTTGTATCAAAATCAAATAACAAATAAAGGCACCATTGAATAGCAAATCATTTATTTTGTAAAATAACAAATAAATATATTTAAATTTTGTGCAAAATACTTCACAAAATGTTTGTGTTATTCCAAAAACAGATTACTTCTCAAATAACCTTAAAAATTGATTTTAGAATATTATTTGGAAAGTCCTCAAAATATCCAGATCTGTCACGAGGTCCTCAATACGAAATACACCATTCTATCCGTGAAAACTCATCTGACTCAAATAAATATCGTATGTTGTTAAAAAGAAGATTCGCAGGAAATATGAAAACAAACCTTATCGTTACTGTGCAGGGCTATTAAACGACAAGTATTTTCACGAGAAGAAGAGAAATAATTGTAGAATTGGGGTTGGTAAGCAAAGAAGGCGATCGAGTGAAATTCGCAGGAGGTAGAAATGCGGGCGTAAGGAGGGTTGGGTCTCTGACTCGAGCAATCGCGTCAGATTGGTCCCGCAAATACAATCGAGAGACATTGTCGCTGTACCCAAAAACGCTCAGCGCGTAAAGACTGAACGTATAACATCGTAGCTAGATCGTGATATGTTAACCAAAATTTATCCAAAGGTCCGGAAATAAGGAAAAAAATGATATTCACCTCCAAAATGGCGAGGGAGCAGGCACGGAAGCATGCGCGCAGCTCCGAGCACTCTCTTCAGGCGGAGCACCTCTTTTTCCAAAACTTGGCCGATCCTTCGGGCATATTAAGATCTAGGGATCACAATTGTTGTACGTACAATTACAACGCACACGGGAAAAAGTACACGCCTCGTACGTGTCACGCACGTACGCACAGACGCGCGAGACGCGACAATCCGCGGCAACGCAACAATACGGCACCCACCGTCAGCCGGACACACGAGAATTCGCAAACTTTTTGACGCCTTTTCGCCTGGTCTGGGTGTACTCTACAACAGGCGAGTTCTCTGTCGATGACGAGTGGCGCTCTATACCGGTCAAGTTGTGAACTAGCGAATATTACCGGTAACCGCGATGTACTTCTTTATCGAACACAAAGTATATTTGGCTGTAGTGTAAGTTTTTTTCAGATGAAAACTAATTTAGAGAGAGAAGCCTCCCACCATTCCAAATCAATTTTAGTAAATTTTCAAATTTAAAAATTTCCTAATTTTCAAACTACTATCCAATCAAATTTCAAAAATTTGAAGCTTCATAAATTTAAAAATTTATTAACTAAAATTTAACTAATGGACGTTGATTCTCTCCTTACATCGATTTTTCTCTAAAGAAACTTGTCATACTTTGCACTGTATATTAATGTACATTGTGTGGCAACGTGAAATTATTATAACATTCTTGAAATCATATTTTCTCCTCTACACGCTTGCTATAGAGTGAAGATGGTAAGAATTTGTTGCGTGAAAATAATATTTCTATCATACAGTTTTCTATTAAATCATGGTGCATTGTATCGTCTCGTGTTACATAGCCGCGTGTCGTGTAGTTATATGGTAACACGACTTTAACTCAATTACTTTATTATATTGTAATACTTATACATAAATATATACATATTATATACAATTGTATTTAGTTATAATACAAAAATACAAAAGAAATTTTTGTATTTTTTTTTAATGAAGTATAAAGCTTTTTGATTAAATATTAAACATTTAATTAATAATATATTAATCAGTCTAATTTTTGTATATTTATATGTATGTACATTTTATAATTTCATTATATAATTATATATTGTACCATTGTAACAAAAGTAACACATGGAGTGTGAAGTATAAAAATATAATTTCTAAATTATCAGTGTAAAAATATTACAGAAATATCTTTGACAAATTTTGAAAATCTTATTTATTTAATTTCATAATTTGTCCAGTCATATTGTAAAAATAATGATAATAAGCAAATGAAATTACACTTACAAACATATTATATAACTTCAATTTTGTGTACTTGACATTACTTTTATAATATATAATTAAGTTTAGAAAATTTTTCAAATTGTGTTACCTTTTTTTATAAAGGTACAATATATGTTTATAAATAAACTCTTATTTTTACTAAATGCACTTATAACATTGAACGATGTACATATATTTTTAGAGCAAATGTTTAAACATCATCAATAAAGTAGAAATATTTAGATTATGTACTTTCTAAATTCTCCATTAATGACATTAAGAATGTGTTTCCATTGATTAGTTTTGTAGTGCAGATAACAAACTCTACGTTTACTGAAAGCATACATTATTTATGAAGTATACTATGTATATATATACACTAAGTAATATATATAAATATGAAATATAACATATTATAAAATTCTAATATTACTCACAATCATCTTGCTGAGACAAAAATCTTAAAGCAGAAATTTCTGCAAATGTACATCCTCCAATGAAAAAAACCATTACTAACTTCGGTGGTTCAGAATTAGAATCTTCACTGGTAATAGAATTTTCTGAAAATAAAGTATTTTTTAACTATGGTAATCGTAATATAAAACATATTTTTTTACATATATCTTACTTCTTCCAGGTAAAACATTACATGGAGTACTACTAATAGTAGAACCTGGTAATAATCCCATAACATCATTTAAACCTTGCCAACCATTTGGTTGCACGAGTTGCTCTGCCAATCGTACACTCAATGGTGCATATATAGAATGAACATAACTAATATCTTTTGGTTCAATTTCACTTTCATCTTCAACTGTAAGCCTTAATGCTTTTCGTAAAACTGCATACTGACGCGCAGATTGTTGTTGTCTTAATAATCCAGCTTTTTCTAAATTTAATATAGTTGGCAAATGTTGATATCCATATGATTGTATTATTTCTCTTTTGTAATAATCTAATAATTTTGGTTTAAGTCCAGAGTTTGTCAATGACTGTATACAAAGCAATCTTAAGACTTTAAGAAGTGGTTGTTGTTGTGCAATCATGTCTTCTATGTAAGCATTTGGTTTATCTGTATCAATACAGTTCAATAGTTCTTGTTCAACTTGTAATGATTCTAGAAAACTACTCGAATCTGTCACTTCTTTAATCATTTCTGCTATTGTTGTATCTAAAAGTAAACAAAAACATATATAATAAATTGATAATGAATAATAATAAAAATATTGCAAATATTATTAACTTAATTTTTAAACATTTACGTTTGGCTAGTGATTGCTTAGTAGCTAACATATATGGTAACCGTGCTACAAATTGTTTAATTTCTTGAACACTTTTATCTCCGTGTCTTTCATCAAACTGTGATGAAATAATTCTAGCTTTTTTACTAAGAAAAGGTCCTACTCCATTGAAATTTTTATCTCTGTAATTGAAGAAAAGAGAATGAGACAAGATGTTACATTAAAATAAAGAAATAATTAAAGTATGAACCTAATTTTTGCGAACAACTCTTCACCAGAATTTAAGATAATTTGTTCTTTTTCATTAAGAGACAATGATGTTGGAGGATCTTGTGAATCGTGAAATCTTCTTGCAGGTAACTGTACAGAATCTAAAATTATAGTAAATAAAATCATTTGTGTTTATAAAATAATAAGCTGTTATGCAATAAAAAAATGATATGAAACCTAACTGCATTTTATTCCAAAAATTTCATCTATTAATCCTTCATACGTTAACTGAGTAACTAAAGGTGAAAGTAAATCTACAGATCGATCCAATAATAATAAATGTTCTATAGCGGATGATTGAACAGATATTTTACTATCTTCTTCTTCTCGATTTAATCTCTCTAATAACTCCCAAACTTTACTGGCAGCAGGACCTCTTCCTGTCACTTTTGGAATTTTCCCATATAATCTTTGCAAACCATGAATGGCTTGTGCTACTTCATATAAACAGGTTGGATCATTTTCCAAATGAAATTCCTTAAATGATCCACTAAGTTCCATAGAAAGAAGATCATTGTCGAAAGGAAATAAATCACATTTTAATTCTTCTATAAGTGTGAAACTACCAAAAACACCTCGATTTTGAAGTTTTTTTTGACACAGAAAACTTTTCCTTGGTACAAAAAATAAATGAAATTCTTTGCGTGGTCTTTTTCCTTCTTCTCTGCAAATTAATTAGTATATAAATTCTAATATATTATTATTGTGAAACCCAAAATTAAAACTAATGTTTTATCTTCTTCATACCCATGGACATTTTCAGCAATTAAATCCATAAGACTTAATTGAGGTCTAGTAATAAATATTATATTGACAATGTTTGATGGTATTGTCAGACTTCCACCAGTTAATTGATATATCCCAACAACATCATGTTCCTCAAGTAGATTATATTTTGCAACAAGACCAATTGGTCCACCAAGCGACTGATCCCATATAATTACCTATTCAGATATTGTTAAAATATTTTAGAATTATATAATTATTTACAAATTAAATATAATTATATACATAATACATAATTGATTCTTATTTTATATAAAATGCAAAGAAGCAATAATACAATGTTAAAATATAAGTAATATAAGATGACAGTAATACAATGTAAATTAAATGAAAAAGGTAGAAAATTGGAAAGGTTATTTTATTACCTTTGTACCATCACATTTTTCAAGTAAACAAAGTAATTGTTTCCTTGCTTGTTCTTGTATAATTCCTATATTTAAACGGCCTGTCGATAAATGTGCTGATGACATGTTTTTAATTTTGTAATTTTATACATAAACTAAAAAAACTGTTATACGCCTCTCCACATCAAATTCTTCTGCGATTGTATCCATTCCCAACTCGTCATGACAGATGATTCCCTTACCAACGTGAGAGAAAAACCGATGTTACCAACATTATAATTAAGATTTGTATCAGATTCACAATGTGTTTAAAATATTATTTGTTCAACGAAGATTATATTTAATTCGCACGATTTGACTATCTTCAATAGACTCTTTATCAGTTAATATTGTCACAGTTCCTTATATTTTTTTAGTTTATCACTCACACAAACAATATACAAAAATATATAAATAGGAAAAAGAAACGAGCACGATTGTATCCAACTACGGTAAAGAATATAGGAAAATTCTTGTCCACTGGATATAACGTTCGATTTCACGAATATTGTAAATGCGCATGCGCGTTGCTCTTGGTAACGAAGCATGTACGAACCAATCAGAACTAACCTGCGCAAAATGAAAAAAATTCGTCGAATAATGAATATGATCTTCCATTGAACGAATAATAGAATACGAAACTTATTCGTGTAAAATCGGATATGCGGGAACATTTGAAATTTTTTAATAAAAAAAAGGAATAATGGTGTAAAACATTGAACTATTTGAAGAATAATTATTAAATGAGACACTTTTTAATACACTAATTTCATATTATAACAGAAGATATATAAACATTTATAAATAAAAAGTAATATCAAAAAGTAATTTAATGATCATTCTATACCAATGATTTAAGATGGTGAGATATTAAAATATTTTAAATGCAAATTATACGATCAATATACAATTTACACAAATTATACTGACATCAAATTTTTATTCAGATATTTGTTACACAATTCGTTTGCCTTTCAATGCAATCATGTCAAAAATTGCTTACTTCATGCAAGTAACAACGTGATGTCTCAATTAAAATAGTAATTGAAAAAATGTAAGGGCCATTAATAGCAATGAATGAGAATGTGTTAACAAAAGTTCTAATATAATTTTAGTCTTCCAAATGATTATAAATGTACCATACCAATTATTTAATATATAATTTTACTTGTATATCTGTACATTGTGGTTAACCATTTATTGAATTGATTACAGGTAGGTTATTAATCTATTAATTAATGGATAAATCAGTATTTTTCCGTGCTAAAGTGATAATGCAATTGCGTTTCAAAAAGAAATTTTATATATTTTATATATAGGCAAATAAATTACTAAAGAATCATTTTTCGTTTCAGTTAATATTCAACGTTTAAAAATTATTTAATGTTTATAAATATTGAATGAATATTATATTATTATTTTTTGCTAATCATGCTATATTTTTTTATATTTAATAATATTTTTTTTATGTTATTATTTATATTTATGTTTCAATTTATTTTTAATTTATAAATTTATTTTTTCTTTCAGAAATGTCAGAACATGTTGAACTGCAGCATTTAGTCGATACTGACATTGAAAGTAATATAACAACACGACAGAAACAATTTTCAATTTTAATGTGCAAATCCTGTCCTTACCTTGGCCTAATATTAGCAACGCTGTCGTCATTATTTTTTTCATTATGCAGTGTTATTGTAAAAGGTTTAGTGGAAGTAAATCCAATGGAATTAGCAGCATTTCGGTTTGTGGGTGTATTGTTACCAGCGATACCAATTGTAATATATAAAGGAGAACATCCTTTTCCAAAGGGACGTAGACTAATGCTAATATTAAGAAGTTTTGTAGGGACCACTGGCCTTATGCTGAGTTTCTATGCATTTCGACATATGCCATTAGCTGATGCATCTGTCGTAGTTTTCTCTGTTCCTGTTTTTGTAGCTATATTTGCAAAAATATTTTTAAAAGAGCCTTGTGGGTTATTTAATGTTATTACTGTCTGTCTAACATTGGTTGGTGTAATTTTAATAACACGTCCTCCACTTATTTTTGGAGATACCGTAGAATCACTTTCAGATGGACACGTGAAAACAGAACATGCAGATTTATGGGGTGCTGTTGCAGCTTTTTCGGCAACTCTTTTTGGTGCAAATGCATACATTTTATTGCGAGCTTTAAAAGGTCTTCATTTTTCAGTAATCATGACAAATTTTGGGTCTTTTGCTTTAATTCAAACAATAATAATATCTTGGGCTATAGGTGCTCTTTGCTTACCACGTTGTGGGACCGATAGACTTTTAGTTGTTGCACTTGCACTTTTTAGTTTTGGGGGACAGATACTATTAACTTTAGCTTTACAGATGGAACAAGCAGGACCAGTTGCAATAGCAAGGTCAGCAGATATTGTGTTTGCCTTTTTTTGGCAAGTTCTATTTTTTAATGAAATACCAAATCCTTATTCAGTAGGAGGAGCAATTGTAGTCACAAGTTCAGTTTTATTAACAGGATTAAGAAAATGGGCTCTTTCATTACCAGAAACATCTAATGTTAAAAAATCTTTAGGTATTTTGGTGATGTAGAATTATAGAGTACAACTTGCAAAGCAAAGAACAAATTTTCAAATATATTATATCTTTTTACAATGTTAAAATTTATTTTCACATCTATTTTATATTTTATTTAATTTATATGAATTGTTCAAAAATGTGAATTATAATCGTAATGATAAGAATTTCTTGGTAAATTTTCATATAATCAGAAATATATTACAATTGGTTAAATTGATTATTTGAATATATTTATAAAAATAATATATTTGTTCTATATGAATAGACTTAGAAAATTTTATAACACTAAATTATTTCAACTTATGGCAGCAGAAATATTACTATAAGCATGTTATAAATTCATCTAATAATAATAAAAGTATGATTAAATCTAAAATTAAATGCTTAAAAATATTATTAATTATTTATAATTAATATGTGATAGGTCAAAAACAAATTGAAAGTTTTAATCATATAAAATATTTCAACTAATTAAATCTTATAAATATGAAACTATTAATTTATATTTTTTAATAAAACTTGGTAGCTAAGTCTAGTAATAGATATTCATTGATCAGATTTTTGTTTTGTTCCTAAAGAATGTATCTTTTTTTTTAATATTATCATATCCATGTTATTCCAAATAAGTACTTGTAAATTCTAGTCTAAAATACAGTATTACATACATATTGTGTATATATATTTTTTATCACAGATACATAAGTTTTAATTTAACTTCATATGCACAAAATTAACTTGAACAAAGTTCATTATATTTATAATATAGTTGTTATATAAAATTCGTATTTTAATTAATATAAAATATTTAATAGTGCACAAAAGTTATAGAATGTTACAAATTGAAAAACATACTATCACATTTTCCACGATCATAGATTTATTACTTTCAATTGCACAATTTAGTAAACAAATTTTAATAAAAAGAAAAAATCTAATAAATGAATATGAAAACAAAACATTTATAAGCTTGTAACGTAATTTACATTATTGCATCGCATTATTTTGTATGCACGTATATAATATCAATAAATCTGAAAAATATATATACTTTAAATAAACCATAATGGTACCTTTTTTATTTTTGTGAACTGGTTCTGAATTTAAAATGTATTATATCAAATTCGTTTTATTTGAAGTGCTGCAATAAAAATTTGTTCAACAACGAATAAATAATGTAATATTCGAATAAAATCTAATTTGCAATATATAAATTTATGTACATTTGTATTTATCAATTATTATACAAATAATATATAATAAAGTTTATATTAGTATCATTATGTTAATTTATTTCAGTACCAAAAAATCCTACTTCGATATTTATATTTTGAAAAAATTATTAAAATCGAAGATAAGTTTTTAAATTTGAATATTGTGTAAATTTCGATGTTTTCTAAAATGAAATTTTTACGTTTATTTCTGTTTAAATCCATATGTTTATTGCATATACTTCCAGCAGATGTCGACATATAAAATGATTTATACATATTGCTCCTTCATTTTTTTTTGTGACGTAAAATATAAAAGATTTTTATAGAAACCAAAATTCATAAATATTCCGACAAAAAAATTAAACAAAGTATTAATAATGTAATAGATAAATTTGTATTTTTTTACAAAATAGTATGTGTAAATATTGAATAACAAAATTGAAAAGTGTATATAATGCAGTGTATTGCGTTTTAATTTAGTTGATTAAATATTAACATTTTAATAAACTGAATTGTAAAATAAAATTTAGTCTAATAAATTCTAAATAAAATAATTACATTATTATATAACAATTATAAATGTTTTATGTTTATTTGAAAAACATATTTTTAATAATGTTAATATTTTATGTACCGTTAAATATTCAGATAGCATAAAATAGACACATACTATTTTCTTGTCTTTAGTTATCAACGTACAAAACATTATCTTAATTTATGATTGTAAAGTACATAACAATCTTATCAAGGATATATAACAAAGCAGGTTCAAATCAAAATTCTTCAGTCATATAAAAGAGTACTGTTTGTAACATTTAAATGATTTAGTTCAATTATGTGTATCTTATTTATTTATCGCAATCCTAATGCTAATTCTGAATCCTATCGATTAATTGTGGCCACAAACCGTGATGAATTTCTTAAACGTCCAGCATTGCCTGCTCATTATTGGAAAAATCACCCAGAATGTTTAGGAGGTATGCTAAAAGTATATTTAGAAGTACTTAATTGTTTGAGTAAATATAATATCAACTGTTGCTCAATTAAATGAACGTGTTCAATTCTTTTATATCCTAATTTTAAAAAATTATTATATTTTAATACATTGATTTATTACAATTATATGTGCATTCTGCTTTTATTGAAATTACTGATGCATCTAAAATTTAAACTAAAATTATAATTTATCAGGTACTGATATGGAACCTGGAAAAGAAGGAGGAACTTGGTTAGCATTATCTATGACAGGAAAAGCTGGTGTTATTTTAAATTTATCTAACGAGGAAAGTTTAACAAATAATCCTAAACAGGGACGAGGAGCTTTAATACCTAATTTTGTTACTTCAAATGATTCTGCAAGCTCATATTTAGATAAATTGTACAACGAAAATAAGAATGGTTCACTGTATAATCCATTTCTTTTAATTTTAATTAATTTATAGTACGTAAATAAATTTTAAAGTTTTTGTATATAATTAACAAACATGCTATTATTAGAATATATACTCTTAAATATTATAATCTTTTAAATTAATAAAACACCGTTTATTTGTTTAGCAATGCAAATGTTCACTGTCTCAGTAGTTCTATTAATTCAATAGGACCTTCTCTAGCAGAAGATAGTATTCTAGGGTTTAGTAACAGTGGCCTTGGTGTTCCTTATAAGAAAGTTGAAGTAGGAAAAGAAAAATTTAAAAGTATTGTTAACAATGCTAATGTGTCAAAACAAACACATTTGATTGAGGGTCTTTTAAAATTTTTGAAATCAAAAGAAAAGTATACATCATTTAATCAATTATGAGTTTTATACTCTTAAGGCATGTTACACAATATCTTGAATATTTACAGGCATTTACCTGATCCAGAGTTGCAAAAACGACATTTATCACGATATAAAGAACTAAGTTCAATTTTTGTGTCTGCTGGTGAATATTCAACTCGAACTCATTCTATATTACTAGTTAATGGAAAAAATGAAGTAACATTTGTTGAAGAAACACTTATGCCAGACTTAACATGGAAGCGCCAAATATTCAATAACAATTTAATGTGAAAAAATAAATAGAAGTATTAAAATACTAAACATATATATATATATAATTTAATTTTAAATTGATTGTATTAATGGTTTAAAGAGTCAAGTAATATTATGTGTAGTATTTGAAATATTATATATAAAAATAATAAAAAAAATACAGTATTACAAAATGTAATTTTTTGTAATTAGATTGCGGATATTTGCACATATATAACACACATTTAATATATATTTTACACACTTTAATGTGTCATAAATGTAAAAATATTCACGACTAATCTACAATTTATTGAGATTCCTTTTAATTCGTTATGAATAAATAATAAAGTTCATTATAAATCATTTTCTTCTGCAAGATCATCACTTGAATTATCACTCTCTAAGATATCTGATGACACATCAGCTGCAATTGCATCATCAATAATATCAGAACTTGGTAAAGTAGTTTCTTCTGATGATGCAGTCTAAAAATTTAGGTAATAATACAAAAAGTAATAAAATACAGTACGTAAAAACATTCCGAGTCAATTTTTATGAAGTTAATTTACAAACCTGTGAGAGAATTTCACGACCTTCTAAATTTTTATTAACAAGGTTCCCCATCCAAAAAGCAGCAGGACTGTTATTAAGAACTAACATTCCTTTAACACTGTAAATTAACTTCTCCAATATAGATTTAGCTGCTGGGATATACTTTGTTAATGTAAGATCCTTCTTTTCTGCGCTATCACAACATATTGTGTGCATATAACGTGTACCTCCTAAAATATAAATAAGTTTATAGTTAATATATACTATTTATACTTATATTAGCAGTGCTAATGCATTTTACATATTAATTATATTATATAAACTAAAATTTTTACCTTGCATCATTTTCAATATTTTAGTAACATCTTCAGTTTGATATTTTAAATTATATTCAAGAACTGGCATTCCAAGATTTAGAAAAGATTTCAATAAAATGGGCATATGTTTTAAAAAAATTAATACATTATTTTTTGTAGTTAAAGTTTTACATATCTGAACCAATTTTTGAACACTTGTTGCAACTTCATACCATAATTTTATTCTTTCAGGATCACTAATAAAATATTAATTATTTAAAATATCTATTAAATATAAATCAGTCTAATTATTGTAAAATATATATACCTATCAGCTAATGGAAGTGCTATTTTTATACCATTAATCAAACCATCGAATATCTTTTTAAGCAAAAAATGATAGTTATTCCTTGTTATTGAAGGTATTTTACTTAAAGAACTTTTAGGATTTTCCAAGTTTGTAGTTTCATTTGGTAACCATTCCAAAATTACAGTAACTGTCTGTAATGGTAATGGCTCATTATCAATCCAATTGTTTAATAATTCAATTACTGATGTTTTATATTGTTGACTAGCATGTTTTTCTTCTGGCCATTGAAGAGATAAAAATCCAAATGCTAATTTTGCTAAATATTTTATAAATACATAATTATGACTTGTTTAAAAACCATGTTGATATATACGTTTAACATTTAGTACATCATAAATAATATATAATATTACTTACCATATTTTTCTTTATTTTCTTTAGTATAAGATTCAGAATGTTTCATTAAAGATTTACACATATTAATTAACGTGGTAGATAGAGATATTTGTGTTGCAATATCAGATAAAGATTCAAAATACTTGCAAGCTTCTGTAACAAGTTCTTTGCAGGATCTTAATGTAGCATTACTTTCATTTACTTGACTTGCTAAAGTCCGTAAACCCTCTAAAGAAAAAAATGATTAGTGCACACAGACTTAAAAAATTATTATAAAAATATGTAATATACCTCTTAACAATACATTGTAAGTGACACTCTCAAATCCTTTCCAATTAAAAATCTTTGTTAACAAACATAACAGTAATCTAGCAGCTTCTCTATATTGACTGTTATTGTCTTCTCTTAAAGTATCCACAATATCTCGCAATTTTTTACAAACTTTAGGCAATAATTCAATTAAATCTGTTATAAACTTTTCATTAGCATCATATCCAAAAACTCCTAACAATTCTTTAACGATGAAACATATTTGTTTCACAGATATATAACAATTTGTAGATTGTGATTTATGCATTTCCATTCTTACATCTAATAAATGTACTATCTATAAAAAATTATTTTTAATTACACGAATGTACATGAATATAAACTATGCTATAATGTTTGTACTTTAATACACTTTACATTAGACTTAATTATGTTATAATTATTTTCGAATGAAAATCTATCAAGGTACATATAACTATATATTGAAATGAGTTAAGTACAAAATAAAATAATAATGTCAATACACGTGCATACCGAGGCATCTAATTTTCTGAAATATGCTGGATTTTTAGCACATATTGTAGACCCATATTCCCAGTTATCAGTTTCATTAAAACTGACAGATTTTTCCTTGGATTCCTTTTTTCCTTTTTTACCCTTTCTGCCTATCTTTTTCTCAATTCTTACAAATTGTGGTGTTGGAAAATAGTGAAAATAACTTGGAGGTGGTTGATACTTTGTATCACATAGAGTAAACATCATTCTTAATTCATTTTGTAAATCAATAAGATTATTTAATCTTTGTAACACCTGTTTTCTTAATAAAGGATCTTTTTGTGTAACAAAACCATTAATTATTTCTCGAAACCTAGAAGTTAGATTTTATTACTTTTCCTATTTTAATCATCATTGCATTTTAATTTATTCGTTCGACTTTTAACTTACCAGTTAATGCAGCATATTACTAAATCCATTATATGGTTTTCTGCGATATCAAAATGTTCTGGCATTAATATTGCACATCCTAAAAGAGAATCTATGGCTTCTAAATTTCCATTTTCACTCAGTCTTATACAGCAAGTCCTGAGAAGTTTAAACGAAATTGGTACAATTGCGCCATACTTTTTATCTTCAAAAGTTAGAACACAATTTTGTGGTTCATCTTCTACATTGTTCAAGCCAAATTTAGGTACCAATTCTCCTCTAAACATAGCATAAAAAGGTACAATAAAAATCTTAAATTAAAATAAAAAATATATATTTAAATCACATACCTGTAATTTGTTTTATCAATCATATTTACATTAATAAATTCTTCTTCAACATAATTTGTAAGGCTTTTTATAAATTGTATATCAACATTTTCAGTTTCGGAAATAATACATGTTAATTGATCATAAAATAGCGCATTCGATCTTGGACAAGTCTTTACATTTTTTAATACTGTTTCTATAAAACAAAAAAAGACCTTGTTTTGTAATATATTTAAAATAGTAAAACCTTGTTAATAACTTTAATATATATTTCATAAATGCTCCACAATGCATACTAAATAAATTATAAGCTGCATCAGATGTTTCTGCTTTCAGCATCAAGTGTTTTATTGCCATAACCGATGCTAAAACACCTTTACATTTTATTCTGAAATATCAAAAAAGAAAAGAAAACGTAAGTAGTTTTACTTGAAAAAAAGGCACATTCAATACTTATAATTATTTCTAAAAAATGCTTAATTAATACATACAATGGTTTAAAGTTAGACAACTGCTTTTGAAGTAATATGAATAAGTCATCACGTAAAGAATCAGCAATAGAACTGGAATTTGAACACAAATACTGCAATAAATCATTTAATGTGCCAACTTCTTCTAAGGCTAAGTTATCCATTTTTTCAAGTAGAATGCGAAGGTGATTACAATGCAGTGTTAAACATTGTCTTTCTTCTTCTTTTGTTACCATTTTACAAAGGACTGCTAGAGCATTTTTAATTGTTTGATCATTATCACCCATAAGAAATATAAGTTTTTCTAGAATCTCACGTTGCTTAAATACATTTTCTTTATGACACATAAATTGTAAACGTAACCAGTCAATAGCAAAGTCAATATATACACGTTCATCTGTTTTTAATAAATTACTTGATATTTGCAATGCTGGTGACTGTAATTCTTGCACGACCTAAATCAAAATACTTTCATTAAATTAAATAAATGATGATTTAATATCTTACAGTACATTTAGAGTTTACATTATTTTATACCTGTTTATAATCATTGTATAATGAAGTTAATAAACTCGTTCTATAAAATCCAGAGCGTATATACTGTTTAAACATAGTTTCAATAATTCTTTTCTTTGACTCTGTTGTTGAAAATATAAGTAGTAAAAGAATGATGTCTAATGGTTTTGGATCTTTAGTAATATCTTTTATAACTGTTATAGTTGCATTTACTATATTTTTTGATGTTAACATACTCATCTTTAGAATATTAACTATATTTAGTTGATTTTTATAACACTCTTCAACTTTTTCTCCAACAAGAGGTTGCATATCGATATTTCGTAATATTTTTAACGTTTTTCCAAAAACTTCTGTATCAGCACAATCTTCTAACACAAAGCTACAAAAAAATTAATATAAATCAATAAATTAGAAATATATATATTTATACAATACTTTCAACAACAAAACATACCTTACAATAGCTGATATTGCGTTTAAATTTACATTTGTTTTTAATAAATTGAGTATTTTTTCCTTGTATTCAATTAAATATTCTTTTCCAAGATTTAAATTACTCATACAATTTAATATTAAATTTATTAATTCGGAATTCTCTTCTAGAACTTTATTCAAAATGTCAGCAATAGTTTGATGCTGTTTATCAGTTATGATATCAGGTAAAAACAGCAGTAATTCACTTTGAAACCATACAGGACATGATTCTAGAAGTTGTTCTAAGCTACTGGTTAAGACATCAGAATTAGTTACAACATCCAAAAATCGAAATTGTTGCAACAGTGAAAGAGTCCAAGGCACTGATTCAATGGAATCACTGAAAATTTATATTAAATGTATGCAAGATAAACAGTATAAGATTATAGATTATTTTATATTATGAAGTAATATAACTGTGAAACATACGCTATGAGCACAGATTCGTTAAGTTTAGATAATAGACTACTGTATATCTCTGGATGCAATTCTGGAATTTGTAATAAGATTTTTATAAGAGATGAACCATGCAAAACATTTGATACTTCATCATTAACAAATAGTTCCATGTCAGCTAGTGCATTTTCAAGATTTTGTTCATTTTCAAAATATTTTTCCATCAGAGTAATTAACTTCTTTTTTTCATATTTTTTTGAATCTAATAATTTTTTCATATTTTTTTGAACTGTTATAATATTTTTACCTATGAGAATTTAATATGAATTGTTATTAATTGAATATATTTCCAGACATAAGTTTTGTGTAAATATTAGATATAATTTACAAATACTTACAAAGCAAATGTGGAGCAACTGAATTTAATTTAATACCTGATTCAGATAAAAATGCAATAAATTCACATTTTGTAACAGAATCTTTATTGATATTCTCTACTGTTGCTAATAAATTCTTTGAATTATCCTTACAGCCAATATTTTCATGTTCATTTTGTGTAACATTAGTATCATTACGTCTTTTCTTTAATACTGTAGATTCTGCCAAAGGATGGCCTAAATCATCATCACTTTCACAATTTAATGCACTGAAACTAAACGACTTGCGTTTTCGTGATACTATATTTTCTTTTGATAGTTTACTCTTTTTTGTATTTGTAGATGCTGCATCTTTGTTTGAGAATAAATCTTCATCTGATGACTTGCTTTCGCCTATAAATACATATTTTACTTAATAATTTATTTTGACTTCAGAATTTAAATACACTTGTTAACTTACTTTGAGTTGACAATGTTTTTTCAGCTAATAATAAACTTTTAGTTTTTGCAGGTTTTTGAGTTAATGATTTAGTATTAGAAGCGTTACTTTGTGACGATACTTGGCTTCCTATTAAGTTCTTGTGCAAGCTACCTTTGAATTTTAACTTTCTCTTATCCATAGCTTATATTTATAATATTAACTAATTCAACTGATTCTAATTCATATATAATCGTATATATACTTTTCGCGCGGAAACACGCGGAAATAAGATGACCTATACATATACATATACATGTACCTATGTTCAACAAGAGATTATACTTGCGCATCTCGGCTAACTTCAGTGGAAACTGATGCGCAAGACATTTCTACTGTCGTATGTACAAGGTGAACAAAAATAAGAAAAAGATTCTTGCTTACTCTTGATTGTAAAATGATTTTTAGCAAATATATATTCAGTGATTTTTTATTTTGTATAATTCTACGGTTTATATATAGACCTGAAATAAGAAGACCAAAAAGCTATCTTTTGACACTTGAGCTGTTCGTCCAATTCCTCGACCAATGTAAACGTGATCTTGTGGACTAACTTAAACTAACTTGTTCTGTTCTCTGCACTTTATAATCTATGATAATGCACATGCGCTCTTACAACGTTGTGACGCAAGCGTATACTCAGCGAGCATAAAGTTTTACAATTTCTAATTCTTGTTGACCTTAGTGTGTTTTATACATTAGACAAAATACTTCCTTTTCTATCGTCATATATTTAATGAATACATTAGAAAGTAGAGTATAATATTCTTTTTATTTTGCACATTTATCGCAACACTGTTGGTCCTGATCGTCCATTTATTTGCTCCCATCGTGTATATAACCATACAGCAGGATCAAGCTATAGAGGAGCATCACAGTCGTGATCAGGAATCTCCCTAGGATACCAAGTTGCAGAATGAAGTAAATTCTTTTCAAAAATGGATATAAGATGCACTACATTTTCTATTAACAAGTTAATATTATATATTAGTACTTTAAATAATGAACCACTATGTGATTTAAATGATTTATATTATTGAATATTATTTTAAAACAGAATTAAAATGCCCAGAAGAAAGGAAAATCCGTCATCTAGTAAGATTACTTTCTCATGGAAGGAAGTTAAATGAAAATGCCATCTACAGGAAGAAACTTTTCGGGTAGCCGTATTATTCTATGTTCAAGTAAGGCTTTAACAGTGTATGAGGTTTTCTAAAATGCTGTTATTCATTGGTTGTATGTATGAATTTCATAGTGTTCGCAGGTTACAATAAATCAGACAATTTTTCAATTAAAGTTGAATTAAGATTGGAATTGTAGTGTAGTGCGCAAGGACCATTAATCGTAAGATACAGAATCGAGAACTATTTAATGGATCCGACTATCGGTTGGTATCAACCGGAGCAGTTCGGCCCCGCTAAGGATTTGTGGTTACACATTTGGGAAGCTGAGAAAGGCCTGGATATCTTAACGCTGAAAAACGATTCGTCTTCAAATGTTATGGGTGTGAAACTTCAACAGGACTTCTTATCTTTGGATTCTCTTAATTCTCGTACAGCAGACCGTATGCAACATAATACTTGTAATAGCTATTATAATCCGTCACGTAGGAAAGGTGATAATCGTGCTAGTACTTACGGCATGAACTATAATTACTATGCCTTAGTCGGCGAATACGGCGGTTGTCCGTGGAGGGTACCCAATAAACATTATTCGAAAGGGGTTATTGGGTAAGTATTTTTATCAAATGTTGTTTTATTATTTGTATTAGAAAAATTACGTTATTAAGCTTTACATGGTTTATCCATATGGGCATGATTAAGGTTATGTAGCTTGCACGCTCGTTTACAAATAGGGTATAACAAGGTCCCTTTATAATTAGAAATGTCGTAAAGAATGTATCTTTTTTTTTCTTTTTTTTTTTATAAACGATTTCAATTTGTTAAGTACAATATTTTTAAATAATTAATTTTTCTAACCATTTTTGCGAATTATATCGTTACAATTTTAATATAAAGGTTTTGTAAACACACGTGGATGTTTATATAACATGATTATTTATGTTTGGCTTTATAATATTTCCTGTTGTTCAGTAATGAAATGTAACGTTGCGGTAATAGTACAACCGTACATCGCTTTATCCTATATAATTATTAATAATCATGAAATGATTAATCCAGGTAATGATTTTACAATTAAGAAATATTATTAATTATAAACTATACACAAATTTTTTATTTTTTACAAATTTTAATATTTATATATTATGTTTTATTTTGTTTGTAATCATCAGTATATCTATTGAACAAATTTATGATCTACAAATTAATTATTTTTTTTTCAAATCAAAGAATAAAACATTTTGTTTCAAAATATTTGGAAAATTTTGTTTAGTGTAATATTTTGCATATTTAAATAATTTATTCTTATTTTTTAAGTTACATTATTTTAAAATTTTATTAGTACAAATGATACATAAATCCAATATATATTTTAAGATAAAAAAATATGAGTTTCTAATCAAGTAATTATTTTTACAATATAATACATATAACTTGTTGAAGAGTAAATATTTTTTTAATTCTTTTTTTTTTGTGAAACTGCATGATTATAAATAAACATTACTTATTGTTTGTACTGAAATTGTTGAATTTCAGTACACTTATTATTTAATTTTTTAAATATATAAAATAGTTTATGAACTAAATTATAAATGTGTTTAATTTTGGTAATGTTTTAAAATCCTCTTTAGGCTTTTGTTATAAATAGTGCTAATATTAATTTTTATATTATGTTATACTGCAGTATCTGTATAGTAATTTATTATAAAAGGCTGGACAGGACCAGAAAGTTGATCAGAATATTACTAAAACTAAATACATTTGCACTTTAGTTTATAAACAACTTTCTGTGTTTAAAAAATTAGATAATAAGTATATTAAGATTTATTAAATAGGTATAATATTCATTGTAGTATAAAATTTATTATAAAACTGAAATTATAATGTAAAAAAGAAAAAATATATTTCTTAGTTATTATTTTCATAAATTTTTTAATTATGTATTACCATGAATATTTTAATTCGATGCTTTTTAAGAACTTATTTTTTATAATGAAATATAATTTCTATAAGAAGTAATAGTAATAATGAATGATTTATGTATCTGAAACAATTAAAGTAGATGTACTTTTTGATAATACATAATATATACATTTACATATTTTTAATAATATATTGTTTATGAAATTTAGATTACACGAAGAAATTGAAGATTTTTTTGCTTATATGTGTCCCTCTAATGAGGAGCATAGCTTACGAATACGTGTTGTCAAAAGGATAGAACAAGTAATATATGATCTCTGGCCAGATTCTAAGGTTGAAGTATTTGGCAGCTTTCGCACTGGTTTATATTTACCTACAAGGTACGTATCAATGTACATATTTAAAACAGATTGTATTTAGTTATGTGTTTGTGCTGAAATATATGTATATTAAATCAGTTTTACTGTTTTCTGTATTCATAAATGATTTTTTTTATACATAATAATAAATTTATGAAAATATATTTAATTCCAAATATTTTATCATATTGGAGTAATCCTAACTATTCTTGTAAAACACTAATATTAACACAGTTAATACTTTATGCTAATTACAAAACTTTTTGGATGCTTAAGATTATTTCTTTTTGCAGTGATATAGATTTAGTAGTAATAGGAATGTGGACAAATCTTCCATTACGCACTTTGGAACGTGCTTTATTGGATCAGAATATTGCTGAACCTTCCTCTATTAAAGTTCTAGATAAAGCTAGTGTTCCAATTGTCAAGTTAACTGATAAAGAAACTGAGATTAAAGTAGATATCAGTTTTAATATGAGTAATGGTGTTAAATCTGCAGAATTGATTAATTCTTTTAAAAAACGATATCCAGTATTGGAGAAATTAGTTATGGTATTAAAGCAATTCTTGTTACAAAGAGACCTGAATGAAGTGTTTACTGGTGGAATTTCCTCATACAGTTTAATACTTATGACTATCAGTTTTTTACAGGTAAGGCATTAATAACATATCTTAAACATTTCATACTTAAATAAATGAAACAATGTAATATTAACAGTCTGTGCTCTATGAGATTATCAGTATTGTTATTTGTAAGAGATAACTCATATCATTACAAATACACAACTAATCTTTTTATCATTTAGTCTAATTATTATTTCAGTTACATCCCAGGCAAAATGCTTATTGCTCAAATGCTAATCTCGGGGTGCTATTAATAGAATTTTTGGAACTATACGGTAGGAAATTTAATTATGTTAAAACAGGAATTCGAGTAAAAGATGGTGGTACTTACATATCAAAAGAAGAGGTAAAGAAATTGTACATTTAATAAAATACCATATGCTAATTCATTTAATCACTTGAATGTCATCAAAGGAATTTTATTATTTATAAATTTGAAAAAAGAATAATAATGATCTGAACTTTTATCAAACAAATCTACAAATTTCTAATGTAATATATATTATTACATATAATGTAAGATACATATTATCTTTTGCATATTATTGCATTATTTAAGTAAAAAATTTAATTAAATACCTGGATTAATTACAATTTAATTAATCAAAATATATAATCATCTTTAGAATAAGAAAAAAGTAGTAAGTAAAAATAAATATTTGAATTTAAAAAATAAGGATAAATTAGTGAGCATACGAATATGTTTCATGTGTAAATAGTTGAACAAAAATTTATCATTGTAATATGTTCACATAAAAATATACCGATTTATGTATTAATCTGAGTTGTGTGTTTTACATGATTCGTAGGTTCAACGAGATATGATAGATGGTCATCGACCCTCTTTATTGTGCATAGAAGATCCACTTACACCTGGAAATGATATTGGTCGTAGTAGTTATGGTGCTTTGTATGTAAAAGATGCGTTTGATTGGGCTTATTATGTTTTATCACAGGCTGTTAGTCCTTTAAATATTTTAGTTAACGATGCAAATAAAGTAAGGTAAGATTATTTATACATCTGAACTTTGTTGATATGTGTTATGACTTGATCAAACGTTTTCTAAAATTGTATGATGTACAGTATATTAGGAAGAATAATTCGCGTGACAGATGAAGTAATAGAATACCGTAAATGGATCAAAGAAACATTCCCGCTATCCTTGAGTGAGGTAGATTCATTATCAAGTTCAACTGGATCAGATGCATCAACGCTGTCTGCTCCAGCTAGTGATACGGTATAAAAATATAATTTATTTTAATGTGAAAAGAATGATTACGTATTAACAATATTTTTATCTATATTTAACATACAACTTTACTATTATTAGGATTCCGAATGTAGTCGTGGAAACTCTCCTAATACCGGTGGAAAAGGAGAAGATAGGAATAAAGAAAGACATGTATATAATAATCAACATACTCATCATCATTCACAATGGAAAAAACCATTCAAAGGAACTGCTCATGGTATGAATATTCTGTTTTTATAAGTGCCCCATATCTCCCTTTTAATTTTAATAAAACTATATACAGTAATATGAACCTTGCTTTTTTCAACGTATTTAAAAAGTATATTCTTTATTTATTATAGGCAACCACCACCACAATTCCAGAGGAAATTATCATCATCGTGGAATAAACAATAACATAAGTGGACAAAGTAAGGCAAAACATTCTCTTCATAGTAATGGAAGTAATAATAATAGCCACAGTCCAAGTTCAAGGTCACAAACCGTCAAACGAAAAAAACAGTGTATTACACCTCGTGGTACAGGAGATTGTGTACGGTGATGAAACGTGCAAAATAACACTGGACTTTGTTTGTCACTTAAGTAGAGAGCTCAATATCATAATCGTGTGGTGAAAAGACATTGATTAACTTTCATCATACAACTAAATTATCCTTTCCATTTTAGTGTACAGAGGGGCTCAGTGTCTATAATGATGTGGAGTTGATAAACTCTGTGTCTCTTATATCTTATATGAACAAGAAAGTGGCCCCCAGTGTAATTAAGTTCTTCATTTCATCAAAAACATTTTATTCTGTACGATAATTTAAATACCAAAGACGTACAGAACTGTAACATAGATTGATTTATAGTTTTACTTTTTTTCGTATTCTTGCACATATTACAAGTAACACTGAGAAAATATGTAATATTTTACTAATTATTATTTACGAGGTTACAAGCTTATTGCAACTTTTAAATAGCAATTGTGTTCATAATCACGATAAACTCATTGTAATACATTTATATAATATGGATGATATATACAAAAGATTATTTACAGTACAGTTTTCTTAAAGATTTCACGAAGCTATAAAACAAGCTCTAACAATGATGATAAAGACTTAGTTTTCTATATGGAATTATATTCTTATAACAAAAGGGGTGGCAGACAAATTGGTGATATTGGAACTTACCTATTGTAAATATTGTAATATACATTATCGAACATAGAAAAAATAAGTTTAAGAGTTACCTACTAAATTTTTTTTTATTTTGTACGTACCTAAAATAATATTATAATTTTATCATTTGAAATCATGGATGTGTCCATGATTATGTGAGAATTATCTATTTTTTCTGTAATATGTAAGTCCAGTACTGTTGTGAAAATGTTTTGGTATATTTTTCGGATTTTAATAAAGCTATAAGTTCGTGTGCTGATGATCAAGAAATTTTGAATAAAAATATTTTTGAAAATACTAACTCATTGATGAAAAAAATAATACATTTTAGATTTTTACACCGTGTTCTTTCAAGTTGTAATTGTGCGTAATACTTTACTTTTTATACAGAATTGCTGATTTCGTGACACTAGTTTGTAATTTTTAGTCTCCCCCGAACAATAATACAATTATTTTTATATTACAAAAAATAATAGTAAGCATATACATCATGATAGAACATCACATGGATTCAATGCACGAATCAGATATTGCATTTAAACATATTCTGTATTAAATATTTAGTAAACTGAGCAACATTTCAAAACTTTTGTATATGACAATACGCGAAAGGCCTTTATATTATTGAAGACTCTAAATATTATATTTGTGAAATTATCTTATATTTAATTTATTATTAAAAATTACATTCCGTTTTTCAGTGTAAAATTTTATTTCTAAAATTGAAAAAAAAAGAGACGACTGCGTTTATTATAGCAAGCGTTTACCGATTAAGAATCTTTTTCTGGATTGCATTTTGTGTTAATACAAGTTGTAATATAGTTCAAACGGTGTCTCCTATTAAATTCGAATGAAAAAAAAGCAAAAAACAGATAGTATTCACTTTCCTTCAAACTTTATAACAGATGTGCAGTGTTCTATATACTACTCAATGAAACGTTGTTCATCGATAATATTTATAAGCTCTGGCAGTTAATAATGTTTAAAGGTTATAACCGAAAGCTTCAAACAATATTAACTGTAACAAAACCGAGCCGTGAAAGCCTCAAAATTCTCATTATAAGCTGTGATTTGATTTGTAATTAGAATGTCAATTGCTTGTTAAACATACATATACGTATGTATATATGTATATATGATGTGTGTACGTATGTGAACAGTAAAAACATGAATCTTAAATTCTTGAAGCTATGTAATTATTATTACTATTGTTGTTGTTATTATAGCTAACTAGTCTATGAAAACTATTGCAGATTTTTTAATCGGGGATCAAATTTTCATAAAATTGTATTATTAATAACTTATGATTTATGTTTGTCTATCTTCAGAAATTATTAAAAAATGTGTAAGTATTAAAACTTTAATAAACAGTAATAACAGCTTTCTTTCTGCCGTTTTGATTGTTTTCTTTCTAACATTAAGTACTTATATATTATTTTTTCTGACCTTATTTTTGAAATAATAAATATAAACATTATTGAAATATGTTAAAATTTGGAACATTTGTAAAATTGAAAATATTCCTAGTTTTTAGTAAACGAATAAATAATTGTTGAAACGAAAAAATATAATAAATTTGAGATATCTAACAAAATTTATATTTTCCAATAAAGTTACAAACATTTACATTCATAAATGCATATTAATATGTGTAATAATATAGTAAGTTAAATTTTAATAGATAAAAATTGATGAATGCTTTATATTTAGTGCAAACTGTCTACAACTTTTTCAAACGTTCATGACAAATGAAATGCATATATATTTCTGAATTATTTATAGGAAGTTATGCTTTAAAATATGTTTATTTTAGTAGGAATAATTTATTAAAATTTTGTTGTCCTAAGCGTATACAGAACATTTTTATTAACTGTTACTGTACAACAAATTGTATTTTATACTATATTTTTACATATAAATTATTTTATTTTTTAGCACTAATTCCAGTAATAGGATTCACCTCAAGTATTTGCATACGCTCCAGTTGTGCAAGTCTGCTTTCTTCACTAAATGAATCTGGCATTGGTGGGTATACTGCAGAATTTAATTAAATTATGCATTTAATTAAATGAATATTTAACAACTTAAGCTAATTTTATATACAATCATAATGCATATTACATGCATACAATAACATATTTATTAACAATAATATGCAAACATTATGATTGACATTTTGTTTTTAACTTGATTATATAGTATAGTTAACCAATTATTAGCACAAATAGTCAATAGAATATTATTTTATTTAATTCCTGATTTAAATAAGTTATTTTTAATTTCAAATTATTAATTATAAAATTATTAATTATAAACTATAAATCATAATTTAATATATTTTTTAAATATATGTTATAACTATATTACGATATATATGATTTATCTTACCAAAAGCTTTAAAGAAGTAGAATAACCAAAGGCTCAATGTTACTCCCATTAATGCCACTGCTATATTTCCTTTCCAGTCGCCTGTTGGAGCTTGGAATTCACTGAATGTTTGGCGATAACTAGCACGATATAATGCCTTTTTCTCTTCTATTGATAACTTTTTCCAATCTCCCTTTTCTTTTTCTCGCAATGCCTATGTGAAGATTAATTTATTAAAAAATAATATTTGAAAATTACATTTTATTAATTAGGCTTGAAGATTTATAATCATACAAATTATTTTACCATGATATCTGGAGTATTTGGTTTGAAACGGATAGCAGGCATAGGAAAATCAGCTCGATCTAAGTAGCTAGCTTCTCCATTATATCCATGACCTACTACTTCTCGATTACCAATTTTGTCTGGGAATACATCACCTTGTATGGCCATTCCACGAATACACATAAATGGCACATTTTGTTGTAAACGTGAGAGAATTAATTTGTTAGCCATTGTGTACTGAAATAAAAAATTATTTAACTATATATGAAATTATGATATTTAACTTTTATAAATATACACATTATATAAAAAAATAAATATATAAAATTTCATAAAATTGCTTAAAATATATATACAATTAGTCCAAATTTTCACTGTCAAACTGATATGATGAGATGACAATATCTGATATGTTATAAATAAGTCATCACATTTCATTATTTGATACTTATCATAAAAAAAAGTAAACCGTGATTTAAAATTTTTCAATATAAAATATATAATCTTTCTACACACGAAATATTATTGGATAAAATATTATAATATTTTTACATATCTGTCCAGTTTGCGGTAATATAGAATTATAAATAAAAATATATAAAACACACATAATTATAATTTGAAACGTATTAAACTCATAAAAGGATATAATTCTTTTACATTACATACTGATTCTCTTGCTTCGCTGTTATCTAATACCCAGTTTCACGGAAATGACTTAAAAATTAACATCAAATATATTTTAGTTTATTAAAGATAATACGTTGTTACATGACAAAGTAATGTTATTAATAATTAACACATATAATTACTGACAAACTATCTAACAACGTAACAACTTACTTCTTTCATACACCCCGACGTAAGAAAAGGTAAAATGGCTACTATATAAGATTAGATCATGGGTCGGTATGCTTATGGCGTACACTGTACATATTTGTTATATGCTCTGTATATAGGTTCTGTCACGAGAGAATGTACTTCCTAAAAGACGACTTTTGATTCGTTCTGCACATGTCGACTCTGATTGGTTGGTAGTGCGCATGCGTTCTAAGGACATTTTTGACTGCAAGATTAGTATATCCAGTGATCTTTTATTTAGTATACTACTTTAAGTCAATTTCTTTCTGTTATTTATGTATTTTTGCTTACCATGTATATGAATTGAAAATGAGAAGTAGACAATAAATTGTCATCATACTGATGGTGAAAAGCCATTTGAACTTAGCCAAGATGCGCGAAAAAAGTACATTCTACTATACTAAGAACTATGTATATAAAGATATCGAATTATAAACTATCGATATATAATTTGTATCTAACGATCGGTGTTTAAATGATTGTGATATCTGTTTAATATTTGCAGATGGAAAATTTCAAAAAATTTTATTTCATTTAAGTGTTCCATCGTTTTCTCTAAGAAATACATTTATTTTGCTAGAAATATAATAGTAAGCTAGATGCTTTTTATAACCACTATTTACGATACAGTTTTCTGTAATGCAAATTTTGTTATGACAGTTATTAATAATGCATGGAATCTGGTTAAAAATGTGTATAAAACGTTAAAATATATCTACTTTATCGACCAGGTGAATTTATAAACGAAAAGTCACATGAAATGGTCTCTAATTCTGGCTATAGGATCGTATACGTAGTTCGTGCGGGTATAAACCCGCGGTTGCTTACGGCATGGCGTTAGCCAAGTCGTGTGTCATCGTGTGTTGCATATGAAAAGTGTAATACATTTGTAACGTTTTTATTTTACATGTTGTATATTAATAAAGAACCTTTTATACATATTTTAACGGTAGGTGACGATTTCAAATGAACGATAGCACAAATGCCTTAAAAAGTAAATGATAATATTTATAGACGAGTTATGTTCAAAGATTCAGTGGGGCTTTGATATGGCGGCAAATTTTAGTTAAGCAAGCATTTATTGTAAACTGATGATATCCTTTAATTATTCCATCAGTTATTCAGATATGATTGTGCCACAATTTTTGTGTTCTATTGTAAATAAAATAAGCTCATTTGTAGTATTAAGTATACGCAAAAATTGAAATACTGTATGCTTCTGTATTTTAAAGCACAGTGGCGACATATCATGGCGGCGAAATTTTCTTAGCTGCGGTTGTGTATCTGAGTTATTTTCATACCGAATGCGTACGCCAAGGAATCTCTTTGTGAAATAACATATTTAGTAAATTGACATATTGTATATAAAATTCCTCTCCATAGGATTTACAATTGCAACTTAGTCATCTGCATTACAGTGATGTAATTATATTGTATTAGCTAGGCATAACATGCAGTTACTCTTTCCTGTTAATATCCTTTATGATATTATGACTGAAATAAGGAATTGTAATGCAGTAGCTGTATATTAATTTGAAACAATATTGTTTTTATATTTACACATATATTTATTTTTCATACTTTTTCAAGATTACTTAAAATGAACAAGCGCCGTAGAACATCTTCAGTTGCAAGTCGAGGAACAGAAGATGATGGCGATGAAGTACCACGTGAACCCACTAAAAGGCGAAAAAAATTAGACCCCGTAAGTTGTTTTGTCGTAGATGCTTAAGTGTTAAAAGTCTTTATAATTAATTGAATATTAAACTTTGATATTTATTTTATTTAAAATATTTAGAGTGATTTGTGTCAACAATTATATGACGTATTAAGAAATCAAAAGAAAGAAGATGGGACATTGTTATGTGATGCATTTATACGTGTGCCTAAACGTAGACAAGAACCAGGATATTATGAAGTTGTAACAAATCCTATAGACCTATTAAAGGTTCAACAAAAATTAAAAACAGATGAGTATAGGGATATGGATGATTTAGCTGCTGATATTCAACTTATGGTTAATAATGCAAAAGCTTTTTATATGGTAATAGATGTTGAATTAAATTAACATGTATGTATATTAGATTAGATTAATATTTTAATCTCTTTAACTTTTTATGCACAGCGTACATCTCCTGAATATAAAGATGCTACTGAACTTTGGGAATTATGTGTAAATACAAAAAACCGTATTATGGAAGAATATGAAGATCCAGAACCCAAAGGAAAACTTATTCTAAAGGTAGCACGATTGGTAAGGAGCAGTGTAAAATATATTAGCTATTATACATATACTTTAACTAGCAAGTAACTTGAATAATATTAATTTTGTAGGCTCGGAAAGCTACATTAAAACAAGAAGATACAGAAGATACATCTGAAAGTTCAACGAATCCTGATGAAGAGACAATACAACAGTTTGAAGATTTATTTGCAGCAGTTATGACAGCAACAGATCCAGCTGATAATAATAGGCCATTGCATACAATGTTTCAACTGAAACCATCTAAAAAAGTGATTACTTATTGATGAAGTATTAATATTATTTTTTCAAACTTATATATAAATAATGTTGCATTTTTAGTTGTATCCAGAATATTACGACGTAATTGAGACACCAGTAGATCTGAAAACAGTTGCTAGAAAAATTCAAGAAGCAGCTTATAGTACCATTACAGATATGGAAAAAGATTTAATGCTAATGTGTCGTAATGCATGTCAGTTTAATGAACCTGGCTCTCAAATTTATAAAGATGCTAAACTTTTAAAAAAGATTATTACTGCTGCAACAAAAAAACAGGATACTGGATTAAGTAGCTGTATTCCAAAAATTGCAACAACTGCTCCATCAACGAGAAGTAAAAGAGGAAGTCGCACAATGGCACAATCTTTAATAGCTCAAACTGCGTCATTACCAGATGAAGATGATGAAAGTGATGATGAAGAAGAAGAACCTGCAGAAACTGAAGAAGCTGACAATCCACAATGGCAACTGTTTCAAACTATAAGAACAGCACCTAATAATCAGGGTACTTAAATGATTTATATAATGCTTTTATTAATAATGTTTTTTAGTAATAATATTAATTACATTTTTGTGATTTACATAGGAGTTAGAATGAGTGAATACTTCTGGAAACTGCCATCAAAGAGGTTATATCCTGACTATTACAAAATGATTAAGAACCCTATTTCTTTATTACAAATTCGTACGAAGATAAAGGTAGTGAAAATAATATAATTCTGTCTTCTCTAAATTATTTTTATTTAATTTCTAATTATTTTAGAAAGGTGAATATGGTACTGTTAGTGAAGTGGCTGGGGATATGAATATTATGTTTGAAAATGCAAAGAAGTATAATATTCATACATCTAGATTATACAAGGTAATAAACGTCAATTGATTTAAACAAATCTATGTTCTTAGTTCATATTACTTAGTTTTATTGTTTTATGTTAAAGTGTGCTGTAAAACTGCAGAAAATTATGCAAGAAAAGGTGCAAGAATTATTAGAATTTGATCAGGTAAATACAACTTTATCGAGGTATAATATATTATTTAGTGTACTAAAATATTATATGAAAAAATTATTTTAGCACATGAATATTTTTGAACATATTTCAATTACTCTAAATTATATTTCAGGATTCAGATTCAGATAGTGAATTTGAAAATAATTCTCAACAACCTAAACTTATTAAACGTGCTTCAAATTTATTAACACGTGGAAAATATAAAGACAATATTCCGCTGAAGAGGAGATTGTATGCCCTAGTTAAATGTGTCATGGAATACGTTGTAAGTAATTCCAACTTGAGATATTAAAACTGAAACTTATCAATATAGAGTTATTTATTATATTACAGTGTGAAGATGGTCGACAACCAATGTTAATGTTCATGGAAAAACCTTCTAAAAAATTATATCCAGATTATTACCAAGTAATAGCAGAACCTATTGATATGTTAGCGATTGAAGCTAACATTAAAGTAGAGAAATATCAAAGTGAAAACGAATTAATACAAGATTTTAAGGTATATTTCATATAGTGTTGTATTAAAATATATGTTTCGTCTACTTAACTAAATATTTTTTATTGTATTTTCTATCATATTTTTCTTATCAGTTAATGTTTAATAACTGTCGTCAATATAATGAAGAAGGTTCTTTGATATATGAAGATGCAAATACTTTAGAAAAGGTCTTAATGGATAAAGTAAAAGAGTTAGGTCCTTTGCCAGAGACACCAAAACCTACTAAATCCAGTGCATCTACGCCTACTAGAAATGTTGGGTACGTAATACATTTAAATATATAGGATGTCCCAAAAGTTGTAAAACCAGAACACACACATATAGAAATAAAATTATAGATTGTACAACGGTATAGAACATCCCAATTTATTTTGATTTGAAGAATCAGTAGTTTCCAAATATCTGGGACATTCTGTATATAAGTACAAAAATAATACATGGGTTTAATTACAAAAGTTTATAATTACATAGTTTACCATTACATAGGAGACCTAAAAAAGTTGTACCACTACATTTACAAAAATTAAAAACTATGTATGATACTATAAAGGATTATCACGATGCAAAAGGGAGACAATTATCTTTAATTTTTATGAAATTACCAAATAAAAATGAGTATCCCGACTATTATGAAGTTATAAAACAACCAATAAATATGGAAAAAATTGCTTCAACCTTAAAAAATAATGGATATGAAAGTTTGGACGAGCTCGTATCAGATTTTATATTAATGTTTGACAATGCTTGCAAATATAATGAACCCGATTCACAAATATATAAGGTTTGTATATCATTATATTTTTAAATATTTATTTAAAGGTAATATAAAGTTTTAAATAAATTATTGTTTTTTGGAACATAACAAAAAGTTGTAGCTTTTAATCTATTTTAATAATTCTAAATGTAAAAAAAGATAAAGATAAATTATTTAATATACATTGTTTAATGATATTAAATATTACTAAA